TCTTACCATTATACGCATTAACAGTCATTTTGTATACTATTATGTCAATACACTTAGCCTAAAATAACCATCATATTTAATATCACAATCATCATGATTATGATTTTAATTATAATAAATTTTATTAGGATTATCACTAAAACTGTAATCACTTTCAATGGAAGGAAGTATACGTTGTGGAAGTATGCATTACATAAAAGTTAAAAACCCAAATGATCACCGGCACGACAGGACTAAAGTGGCAGGCATTTCGTAACCTGGACTTCTCGCTTCTCTGTCGCGAACATCACATATCCAAGACATTGCAAGTTACGTTAATATCCGCGGCAGAGTTATGAAAAGTCTGGTTTACGAAAAGTCTGGGTTACAAAATATCGACACTCCCGACGACAGAACAATGACCTAACTACGAGTGCTATCTTGTGATAAATACAAAAGTATCAATTTTCGCAGATATTGCTGAAAATAATACACGGTCTCGAGTTTGATTCATTAGAGGTGAATGCTGAACATCGATGCAGTCCTCTTAGAATCTGTCTATGAACATTTTGTCGAGTGACCCGATTCTTAAGCGGCGGATTCTTAGACGTTATTTACGGTGAGTGAATGTTATTCGCCACCGGGTAAGCCGACAACCAATAAATAAACACAAGAAGCGCTTGCTTGCGTGAAATGTAACGATATAGTGGTAATGGCATGGTGATAATTAAAAAAAAGTGCATTCCCTCAGTAGACCCGTCATCTCTGCTATGTAGTTCTGTAAAAAATGCTTTATAAGATCTACACCCATGATACTGTAGCCATATATTTTAAAATACCGTTTACAGTAGCCTTGATTTCAGGGAATACCAGCCCAATAGCGTCACGCTCGGGTGCTGACAGGGAGCGGAGCGTCAGGGCCCACAGGCACGAGGGGCCCGACATGTAGTTTAAAAAATATATAACATACATTATAATGCCATAGTTTCATTCAATGATGAATGAAAAGCTGTGTTCTGATGTTTGACATTTGTTTCTGATTTTGTGATTATTATTATTATTATTATTATTATTATTCACCCTCTGGACCCCGTCCTGGGCCCTACGCGTCCCCCTGGGCCCGCCTCTGTTTGCTCGCTCCGCTAGCAAACTTAACGCTCGCTTCGCTTGCTTATTAAGTCCCCCAATAACAGTCACCGCCAGGGCCCCACAAACTCCGTGACTCTTTGAGACCTTAATACTAAATAGGGATGTCCCCTGATAGGAGTTGTCCATAGTGTTAAAGATACACTTCCCTTTGTTTCGTGGCCAAAAAAATGTCCCCTTTAATGATTGTGGTGCTGAGGGGGCCAGCTCACCGCCTTGCAATGCAGTGGTTTATTAGTTATTGTAAGTCAATCGTGACATCATCACTGTAACTCCCAATGTTATTTGCCTATTCCCCAGCATCCACTATTTTTTGTTATTATAAGTGAACGCTCGGCTTGATTTTTTTTTTAGGTTTGTGTGCGAAAGTCTATCAAAATAGCACTACAAACAAGTTCTTTCAAACACAATAGTTATTCATCGTATCCGTACTGATGTGCAGTTAATTAAACGCGCACTACAGGAGCAAAAATCAGCATACGCACAGCTAAATGTAAATACACACACGTATACTGATCATATCACTATAGCAACCGATGACTGCTACAACAGTTGGTTATAAAAAACAAAAATTAAAAGACGGGGATTGACTTATAAAGCAATTAGTAGACCATGCATTACACTAAATGGAAAATTATTATACTCAGGTTAGATTTAATGCATTCAAAAATTTCCTTCGGGCCTTGCAGGCCCTCAGGAAATTTTTTCAAGCAATAAATCTAAACTTCGTATAATAATTTTCCTATAGTGTACTATGCGGAGCTCTACTAATTGCTTGTTATTGGCCGATTATACTGTCATATTCATGGACGTTATTGTCATCGTCATCATAATCGTCATCATGATTGCAATTTTCATCGTAATGTCGAGAGCTATCCTACACGATCTATTATTATGTCCTTTATTCGAACACTGCATTTAACTTTCTTTGATGAGTTATATATAATTTAACAGTGTAAACGGCAATCTTGATATATATATATATATATATATATATACATATATATATATATATATAATGGTATTTATTCAATTCAATCAATGTTTATATAAACATAAGACATAACAACCAAAAGGCTGAATTATGGTACAAATCGTTTACAAGAGGATTAACTATAACAATAAAATAAATGACTAAACAATCATGACAAAAAAAATGTATATGAAATTGTTTGATTACATTAAAAAGCTGAACTATAATTTAATTAAAATTACGTTACTATTATTGTTGATTATTATTTTAATATCATATTAAAAATGCATTATTAAAAAGCTGCACAAATAAATAATAAGCCTATATAATATATAAAACAACCTAAACTTATTATTACTGTAAGAATGGTGCACATGGTTTTTGGAGCGTTTGGTGAAATGCACCAGCACAATCACCCGGTTGATTTTTTTTTAATGATATCGTAATAACGTAATCATTATAATAACTGTTATGGTTATAAGCCTATTAATTATTATACATTTTGTTACTATTAGGGTCTACTATAATTAATAGGGCCTATCATTTCCGGGCATCTGGGGTTACTACTTACTTTTTTCTCTTCCTTGGTAGGGGGCTACGGTGGACTCTTTTAGCATTGTCCCTGCTACTGTTCAATAAATTACTTATTGTATTTAAAATTGAAGGTCTTAGTATCAAAATCAGGCACATATTTTTAAAAGTTATTTCCTGGCGTCTCAATTTGACGTTTTATAAAATTGTCTTTGACGGTACCTTAGCATCAGCCATTGTGTAACAGTGGTGGTTGTAGGCTACCTGGCATTTTTCCCCTGAATTTTAGAAGAATCTCCTGAGCACAAAATCTAGGTGTCATTATTTTAGATGTATAAACAGGGCA